TGTATTTTATTTACATAATTACTTAAAATAAAATATTACAACATTAAATATATATGTATATAGTCAAAGAAATACTTAAGTAAGTTTACATCCACTTATATTGGTTATATTCAAAACAATAAAACCAACATATTATCCCTGAATTACAGCTAACTTGAATTTATTCAATATATTCTCCAATTTTCACTTTCATCTCGAAAAATAAAATGATATAGAATAGCACTTGTTAAAACCCTCCAGTAATTACATCATAGTGACTTTGTTCGTTACTACTATGCGCCCATGACAAGTTGTTTTGCTTTAATAGGCGCTTTAGAAATGTGTATTATTATTAAATAGAAAATAATTCAAGTAATCGACCCATCTGTGAGTGGCATTTAGAAAACAAAATACAGGTAATCAACATTTTCTGATGACGTATAGACTTAGACCTATAGTTTTTATAATAAAATAATACATATGAATTAGAAAAGAAGTCATATTCATAGGAATATTCTTAAAACATTAACGTATTTAAAAAGACACTTAATAAGCATAACCCTTTAAAACAATTTTGTCGCCAAGTCTGACGTCCCAAAATCTTAAAAAAAAAAAAATCTAGTGTCTGTTTTTAAAAAATATTTTGAATAATATAGGCCTAAATTCTAAAAATATATTGTAAGATTGTTAACATTTATCCATAACTTTATTTAGTGCAATACGTTTTACCAATCAATATTTATGGTTGAGTAATAGTTGACAATGTACCCTATAGTCCACCATTCAATAGTGTCATTCAAACGTACATGTGGCTAACCGGGAACGTAAAATTAAATGGCCATCTATACGCGCATGTCCCACACACACACATTTTTTTTCACACACGCACTCACCTTAACAACAATATTTAAGAAACGATCTAGCAGAAAGCTTAAACATACTCCCGACTGTCCTGCCTGATTTTCAAATGGCACTGGGATTTTCCAACACAATCATATGACATTATCATTTCATCATATTTAACTTCATGTTGAACCCTACTGACATTAATGAACTTATCAAAACATTGTGTTAGCTATCCTTTTCTAAATGAGGTTTATATTTTTATTGTTAAAGTAAGTGGTATCCAGCAACATTGGCAACCCATGTGGTTTGTTGTAAGATTTGTTTAACGTGATGGTGGCTGTTTGGCTGTCTCTAGAAATGGCCCGTGTTACTACTTTTTCGATCAGATACGTTTGTTACTAGTATAACATGGAGGCACCTTGATATAACTTATATGACCAATGTTGTATTCCAAGGAGTTCATGAAAATTTATTTTCTACCTACTCGTAGAGTAGGTATACCTACGTCTACATCTTCGTAGAGTTTGTCAAGCTTGTCAAGTACACGTAGGAGAGATTCCTCTAAAGTTAATTGGTCAGTTCTTTTTGATCGACGTGTTCTCCTGACAGCATAAGGTGGAAGAACGCCATTGCTTACAGATTTGTACTCCACAAATGGCACGGGACTTTCTTCCTTTTGACTTTCTGCCAGACCATCAACGTTCGTGTTAGGATAGTTTGTTTCATGGCCATCGAACATTCGCAAAATCTTTCTCTCCAAATCAGACTGGAAGTCATTTCCACTAAAAAATCTACCCAATGTTCTTGCATCAGAAGTTGAGCATACAAGACACACGACAATAAGCACAAACCGGACCCACGCCATCACGGTAACGTACACTAAAGCATAAAAAGTAATGTGGCACATTTAAAAATAAAACAAGTTTTTTATACTTTTGAATGTACGTTTATGGGGCATTAATGAAAGAAAAGTGTATGTATTCTTTATTGTTGTTATCTTGGTATATTTTTATGAATAAAATTTGTCACAAAAAAACTTATTTAATATATGACAATTTCAATTAAATAAGTGGCTTAATCCGTTCTAAGAATCAATATAAAATTAATTACGAATATCGATTAGAAAAGTTTTGCTATCGGTACCAAATGATGTTCAAGAGTCAAAAAAGTTTTTACACTGTGTTTATGAATTTGGCATTATAATGTTATAAAATTAAACTTGTAAGCCCTTCCGTGTATCGTGCATTTTTATTAGGCACTATATAATGTAATAATAACATGTTGTAACATATTCTTATTTAATTATTAACTAATAAAAGCATATACATAATAACATATAACTTACCCAAGTTGTTTTCTCCACGTAATATAAGCTTAATTTCTTTAACAATGTTTCAAGGAAAATGAATCAGTATCCCTGACGGTTGTGATCCAGAGTTTTTCTGGTTTTGTGGTTTTCTTTCGTTTTACTATATTCAACCTTACGCAATGACAAGCTGACTGTTACTGATAGATCCGTGAGTGACAATGGAGCTTTTAAAGCAATGGGTTTCCACTACACATGCGTGGAATTATCTGTCTAGTAGCAGACGTTTAATCGTTAGTCACTTGTTGTTAATAAATTTTATGAATATTGGACCGTTTGTTTAATATCAGGTGATCAAACGGTTGGTGAAAATTAAGTCAAATGAAAAGTGAGAGTCGTATAGAATAACCATTACAGTATAATGTATTATGAATCTGAAATGGGTTGTTTTTTATTTGTAGTTGGTTGCTATTGGTTATTTGTCTATTGCAGTTTTTATTATTCCACAAACTAACGAAAAAATGAAATGAATGAATGAATTATTCAAACAATGTATTGTATAACCTTTTGATAGTTTTATTTTATATTTTATTCTTGTCAGACATTGATGTCTATTAAATGACAGTTATTGTTCTCCCTCCTTTATGTAAACTTAGGATATCGTCACAATTGCAGGAAATTGAAAAAAGAAGCTCCCCCCACCCCCGAAACTCCACCCGAACTTAGACTGTACCGCCTCTGTAACTCAGGTGATATTGAAGACGAGCTACAGTTTTATTAAATTGTAATTACTAGGATCATCTTCTTAAGTTTATACATGATTTAAAAGACGCCATGCGTTTCGATTGAACACCCCCATTTTTTTTTTGACATGAGCATTGTTGATTATGATATTATTTTACCATTATTAACCTTTGTTAAATAAGCTTTCCTTTAAAGAAAATCTATTGGTTTATAATAGATACTAATATAGAGTACTTACAGTACTCGCGCGAATAAGCGCCCGTTTGAATAAGCGCCCCTCTCGAATAACCGCCCCTCCTAACGTGAAAATTTCCTTAAGCGCCCCGTTTGAATAAGCGCCCCTAATAATTTCATAAGATTTTCTTTTTAGCAGGTCAATAATCCAATCAATCCTGGGACTGTGGTTGTTGTCATGATTTGAGCTGCAGAGTGGAAACACATTCTTCTTAGGTCAATATAAAAAATGAGGATATTTCTCTGGGACTGATGAGAGCTCCGATCCTTGGACAGACAGTATATTTCCAACTTTACTCATTTTACATACCGTATTTGTCTATGTCTAGTCCTACTCCTCTTTTTCTTTTTCCGACCTTTAGCACATTCTCATCTGAGTTTTCAAGAAAAAATACAATGTTCCTGCCATCCTGCTAATCTCAATCGGCCGATGGCCAACAAGCTAACCACTACCCACCACCACTAATTGCATCTGCTATTTCGCTGTTATGTAAATATTCACGAATTCTTGTCATGAGCCATGTTCTCTGGACGATTATCTAATCCGCATAACCACCATTCGTAATGTCCTTAAATAATCTTTTTTCATTCCAAAAGTGCCTCTTCAATTTAATAATTTCCCATAAGAACCCCTCGATTTTCATCTATTTCCATAAGCGCCCCCCCTCAATTTCCACAGTGTTTTTATAAGCGCCCCGTTCGAATAAGCGCCCCTCAGAAAGTGCAAAAAAAAAATATTTTAAGCGCCCAGGCGCTTATTCGCGCGAGTACGGTAATTGAACGTTTTGTGATGTACGTTGTTTGTGTAATTTTTTTTTATATGGCCGTACTGTTTTGTGCAATAAAAGAACTGAATTGAATTAATATATTTTATATAGTTAAGTAACTTTTATTTCAAAATATTGTACATCACAAGAAATTCAGTCTTGTTTTGATTGCAATAAACTGAAATTTAATTTAACTAAAATTGAATTAGAATGTTTAATTGACTCAAATACAAGACTAGAGCTGACTATTATAGTTATACCTCAAACCTAGGACGTAGTTGTACAGCTGGTAAAAACTGCAGGGAATATTTGTCATAATATGATTGGTTCTGATTGGTTTTGCTTTACAGCTCTCTGCAGATATATTATATGTGTGGATCTGCAAGCAAAACCAGTCACAAATAATTTTTTTAAATTAATGACTCGTCAACAGAAAACAACACTGCTCTAGGTTTTAATCAATTACAGCACCTAAAATATGAAAAGTCTCAAGAATATGTCAATATATCTTCTCCACTGTTGAGTGCAATATTATATTTGTGAAACTTCCTCAAAATTATTTAATTAGACTCGAATGAAAGATAGCAAACGTTATTACTATATTTATAAACATGACGGTTCATATTTAAAATAAAGGAACATACATATCTCTTTGCTCAGTAGTTTGTAACTTGCTTGAGAGAGTGTTAGCCTATCATATCACTAGCCACGTGATTGTTCAAGATCGTCTAATTTTCAAAAATCAGTTTTTTCTAGATCAAAAACATTGCTTATTATTTTATTAAATTAGTGAAAGAAAAATTATTATTATTATATTTTAATATTATTGTGCCAGAAGCCACTACCTCTGGATGAATTGTAAATTCGTCCATACATTTCACGCTCCGCTGCTGAAGTACTTGTCCATGCTTTTATCACCTCTAAAATTGATTTCTGTAACTCTTTATTGTATGGGACCTCTACTATTCAATTAAGACCCTTACAAAAGCTTCAGAACTCAGCAGCACGTGCTGTCTGTCTCATTAAACTTTGTGATCATGTTTCACCTATCCTCAAAGACCTTCATTGGCTACCGATATGTAAACGCCTAAACTTCAAAATTATTCTTCTCACTCATAAATGCA